GGATTGAAAAAAGAAATAAAATACCTAAAGACAAACACCTACCTGTTAAAGTGCTCAATGCCTAGATTGCCTAGACAGAGCAAAAAATGCTTCACAACTTTAACTCCTATCAAAGGATAGCCGAAGTCATAACCTGAGTTTCACACTCATGTGATCTTCAGATAGCTTAAAGTTGTTTGAAGATCGTGTGTGCATTAAACTTTGATTACAATGCAGGCCATTCTTATGAAGTTGCATCAATAAACTCATAGCCTGATAAATAATTGTAACTTGAATATCTTAATGTACAATGCTTAATATATGTAATTAATATTTACCACTAAATTAAGTGCATTGATAAAAAAAAAAAGGTGTTAATGTTGAACCATATTTATGCAAAGTAAATGCTTTTCTCAACATCAGGCTGAGAAGTTACTGATCCACCACTCTCTCTATATATATACTAATTAGATTTTACTATAAAAGACAATGACAATATTGAAGTTATTTTGGTATTGCACATTATATTTTCTGCATATGTAATCTCGGATTTTATCTCTCCAATTAATATTCTTGTTTCATAAAAGAAAGAATCTTGCTTTATAGAATTGTTAAAAAGGAAAAATATCGAAAGAAAACTAACATGGATGAAAATGACATAAATAAAAAGCAATTTACTGCAACCTATTTTCAGAACTTACTAATGAAATTAATTTTTTTTTTATGGTAATATAAGACATGTTTGCTCATTTGCATATAGTAGCATCACATTACTAAGTAGGGAAGATCAGTCCGCATGACTGAAGAATATTACAATCACCTTGTGATAATTACACGGCCTTGTGGGTGATGAAATATTTTCTATACCCCTTTCCCACAGATGAAACATCACAAACCTCTCACAACTCTTTTGCAAGTCTTCTGCTGAGTTACATTCCTTGATTTCACAAGCAATCACCTTTTCACCTGGGACTAGCCATGGCATGCCACAGACACACAGATTAATAATCCTAATTCTTTTTGTATTCCATTAGTAAGGAGGAAGTTCCACCCAGACAGCTTCTTCCCAAGAACTACTGCTTTGTGGAATAGACTCCTGGCATTGTGTTTTCCCAATCACTACAATCTTGACATCTTCATATCTAGGGTTAACTGCTATCTGTTCTGTATGAACTTCACTTCACGCCTTTTCTTATGCCCATACAACACCATACTCTACTATGAGTGACTGTTTGACCTTGTATTAGGTGAACATTAGTATTTAAAATTCTACATATAGTGTTGTAGTCTACCTACAGATGAGAATGGGTATGTCCCCATTCACATAAATACAGTAGTAAATACTGTATGTTGGTCTGCAGTTTGAGATTTGTCTCCAGCTGTGCTGGTCAAACTCTCTGTCTCTGGGTAGAGAGGATCCCCAGATGAGGATATGTCAAAGGGAAGAGTCTCGTCTCGGGGGAAACAGCTACCCAACCCTATTTTATAAGGGGTCTATGGGGAAACTTTGGCCGAGGCTACAGGCTCGGATACCCGAATTAAATTTAGCCTTGTGCCACTTCTGACTGCGTGGGGTGGTTGGTAGATATCCTGCAGTTGGAGATCTATCTCCAGCTTTGCTGGTCAAACTCTCTGCCTCTGGGCAGAGAGGATCCCCAGATGACGCTATGTCGAAGAGCAGAGTCTCGTCTCATGGAAACAGCTACCCAACCCTGTTTTATAATGGGTCTGCGGGGAATTTTTGGCTGAGGCTCTGGGCTTGGATACCCCACATTAAATTTGGACTTGTGCCACATCTGACTATGTGGGGCAGTTGGTAGATATCCTGCAGTTGGGGATTTATTGTGGAATTCTCTTGACTCATTCTAGCAGTTGACTACTTTTTCTATGTGCTGCTAGCGAACCTTATATGTGTTGTTCTTTTCCTCGGTATTATCGTTCATTACCAATCTTCGTTTGATTATTCTATTCAGTAACCTTTCCTAGGTTACAACATATAGAATGAATTAAATTTAACCTAATGAAAGTGTTATCTGTATTCTGCTTGTTTACACCAAACAACTTGAGTAAGTATTAAGATTCCAAATAATGCAAAGCTTGTCATTAATATGCAACAGTAAAAAATAAAATGTGTATACCATGTCATGGAAGACAAAGTGACGTGTTTTAGGATTACCATCAGGACTGTTTTCAGTGTTATCATTAACTTCTTGACTGTCAGTTCATGTGATGCACTTTTAACTCCTTACTTGAGCTCTTAACTGATGCACAGACAAAATATCCTCAAGTTAAGCAACATCAAGCCTGGTCAGTACCTAGATGGGTGACTTCTTGGGAATACCAGGTGCTGTCCTGGATAATGTCTTGAAAATTATTAACTGGAGAGACGAGTTCTAATTCCCATTGGATCCGTTATATTCTCTTATGCACAGATACCTTATCAGGATTATCAATTTGGGAATGGCTGTTATTTCTACACAATTTAGCATATCCAGCTTCAGCCTCTGATCCATGATTTGGCTTATGGCCACATCACGATGAAATGCAGGTTCCCCTTTGATCACTGAAATTAAGCAACGTTGAGCCTGGTCAGTACCTAGATGGGTGACTGCTTGATAATAAAAGGTGCTGTTAGCCTGGATGTGTGGGTGGTGTAATGGATAATGGCTTGGAATTGTTAACCGGAGAGAGTCAAGTTTCAATTCCTGTTGTGTTTGTTATATTCACTTATGCTCAAACACCCTTGATAAAGGTATGAATCCACTTCTCTCCCCAGCTATGGGTTAATTAGTAAGACTTGTATCACTAAATCAGTATTATCTCCCCACCAAAAATTCTTACAATCTAAAAATATTTTCTGACTTTAAATAACTTGCAAAGGATTGATAAGCTATAGAAAACAAATCAATCAATTCTTTCAACAGGATAATTTACCCAGTCCCTGATCAGTGACATGTCACATGAAGAGATTTGTACTTGTATCCATCCTTTTACAGGAAGGATTAATTTAATAAGAATGGTCAAGTAATGGTAGTCAGTTGTGATTTATTATCATTTTTCATGTATCCATGTCAGAAAAATCTTAAGCAATATCTATCATTTGTATAATTTTAAAAAAAAAATCCTTTCATGATAAATTCTAACTAGTATCCTTAGCTTTGTTTTTTTTCATAATGTCCAATGCACTCTCAAACTCTCCTTTCTTTTTTCTTTAAAAAAAAAAAAGAAATGTCCTCATTTGAGATGTTTTTCATTCCTTCTTATATTGTCTGAAGTTCCAAGATAAAGTATTGAGAATCCTTATCCTTATTGTTTAGAGCAAAACAATTTTGCTTAGTGTGATTTCCAGTCATCCTTTAGTTTTCTGAAGTTCCAAGATGAAATATTATTCCATTAATAATTTGGACCATTATTCTCATTTTGGTGTTTAAATCAATATTTTTGGATGTTATATTTTCCATCCTTTCTCAAATGTATGTTATATTTGGTAACCTTTGAAATGAAGTTCCTGTCTTATCCACAACATCTTTATTTGTATGATAGTAGAGAGGGGTGTCTTTTGACACAGCTTAAATTAGAATATGTCACAGATTGGACCAGCTAAAATTTTTGATGGAGGCCAGTCAATACATTGATTGTAATATCATAATCAAATCAAGACTGTCATAAGAATAATTCATAGAATAAAAACAACACTTCATCCAAGAACTTCTCTTAATACTAGAAACGTAAAAATCCTGTTGTGGGTCAAATGTAGGTACTTCAACTAATTTGGTATATGTAAGGTTTAAAATGAATTTTTGAAAATCAAAATTCTTTCTTGAAGTTTTCGTTTTAGTTTTAATTGAAAGCCAAAAGATTTAAAATTTACTATTGCCAGTAAGCAAAATACTCTGTGGGGTATTTTAAATAGAAATTATATTGATTGGAATTGATTTTTTTTCAGTAAAATCCATAAAAACAGTCATTTTTTTATACATTCGTAAACAAAAGTTAATTCTCAGTTTTAAAAATCTTGCAAAAATAAAATATATATTTCTGAAATATTATTTGAAGAAAATTAGTAAGTTTAAAGTTAAATTAATCTGATTTGAAACAAATATAACTTATAGCATAAAATGTTCTATACAAGCATTTCTTAACCATGGGATCTTGTTTTTCTGATGTGTTAATTGATTTATTGACAGCCAAATGACCACTAAACATGTTCATCCTTAAGTATGGTGAAGCAGACAGTAAAGTTCATGAGGGTTTTTTTCCCTGAAAGTGGGGAGAACCCTTAAACCTTTTAATGATATTGTTATAGGTTTGAACATCTTTACTTAGAAATTCTGCATGGTTATCACACATACAAAAGCAAATCGAAATTCTTTTTAAAATATTGTAATAAGCTTTACAATAGATGATTAGTAAATATAGTTTTACTTTATAACAATATTTTCTAAGTTATCACATTGAAACTGAATTTTAAAAGATTTTAAAAATTTATAAATTATTCAATTTAAAATTGTAAAAAATGAAAACAAATCTTGTAAAAATTTATTTTTTTATGGAAAAAATATTCATAAAAACAATTGAAAGCTTCTATAATTAAATAATGTTTTGGTTTTATTGTTTTTCATTTTTTAATTTGGAACAGATTTTTGATAAGATGGGGGTCTGATTTTGCCAAAAAAAAAAAATCTGTGATTTAAATTCTTTAAAAAATTCTGCTTTTAACTACTATAGTCATTAAAAATTATCATCTCAAATTTTCATAAAATTAAAAAATAAAAAAAATTTACCATGTTTTTCTAATAAAAAAAAAATGCAAAAATAATTTCATTCATTTATGAATAAGTCCTGAAAATTTAATTAAAATCCATTTGATTTTTGCTAGAATTTCCAAATTAATGTGCCTGTCTCTGCGAAAAAAGACAATTCTTGGGCGTTAGTTCTATATAGCAATGATTCGTGGGACAAAGCTGCTTGAGTGGAACTTACATCACCTGTTTTTAAAATCACTATGCAAATTAGTTAAACCTGAAGAGTGATGTTATCTAGAAGTAGATTATATATAATACAGATATTGAGATTTTAGCATATAAATTACTATAGAGTTGGGGCTTTTTAAACACAGAATTCATTGGATAATATTGCTCCAATTTCTACATTTATTCATGTAGATTCTATTGTATATGTTTTAATTAATTAGTGTTGTGTTTCTCTAACTCTTCAAATGTTGAATGTATAACTAATTCTAATTTCTATTTTCCCATCTTTACACTATATTAATTTTATCTTTTAAATTGTCCCCTAAAATAAAAATAATTGTTTGTATGGAAAATATGGACCTACGTACAACAAATTGTCTTTAAATTAAGTGGCGGCAGAAGAAGTATTGTTGAACTTTTAAAAGGTAAGCTTAAATATTAATCCAATACTTAAATGCAGTGATCAGTTTTGAGTTCTTCTATAGTTTAATGATGACTATCACATCTACTCCTCCTTAACTATTGTGATGGTAGCCAAACCAAGAGTCCTCCACAGGAGCTAGCTTAAATGCCGCCAAATAGGGAGGCTTTTAAGCTAGTTTATAATAAAATGTGCACTGCAATTTTGGATTTGGGATACTAAAGGAAAATAAGAGCTACTCCCCTTGGACCATGAAAGCAATGATAATGGCTAGTATAATATATTAATATATATTTTTAACCTTGCATAATCTGGCAACTCTGAATCTGAGCTCAACAAAAATCATTCCCTGCGCCTAACTTTTCTAGGACTTTTGAATGAGCTATGAATCACTGAAATTGGACCAGTGGGAGCGGAGGAGTTGCTTGGACACACACGTGCACATACACTGTACTTTATAGATAAGATATAAAACACCTAGTGGTTTTGCATATTTATAATTCATTGCCTTCTTTAAATGTGAAGTTTTCTAAAAGCTGATGCTCAACTCCAGGAGAGCAACACTCCATGCCTTCTTCAATTGGCTTCATGTTTTCTATTGAAATGAAGAGTACTGACTATATCAAGTCTGCTGCAAGGAAGTTTGGTTTGCTATGTCATGCCAGAAAATTTTTCTCGTCAGAATCCATCTTGCACATTTATAAATCTACTAATTGTCCGTGTATTGAATACTGTTGCCATATTTGGTTTGGTGCTGCTACTGTGCATCTTGAGATTCTTTATGAAATCCTGAGAAGTGTCTGCAATACAATTGATCATGACCAGGCATCTTGTCTCCAGTCATTTTCTCACCAACATGATGTGGTTAACTCTGTCTGTTCTACAAATAGAATATATTTACATGGCAACTGCTTAGATGAGCTTTTTTTTCCTGTTGCCCGGACTACGTGAATTTAAGTGATGCTACTAAATTGGCAATTAGGTCTCATTATTTTACTGTTTGACTAGATACAGCCGCCACTTCTATTCTAACAGTTTTTTCTCATACTTCCCACCTGTGGAACTCCCTTCTTATTTCTTGGTTCACTGATAACTATAATCATAAAAAATTTAAATGCAGTATCAGTTGTCATCTTTTGTCTTCTTGAACCCTGTTCCTTTTTTTTTCCTTTCTTCAATCCTCCCCATTGTCAGTCTTCTCATTCTCTTTCACTCATTGCAAGCACCTGCGTTTTAGTGACATTATCATGTTGCTTGGGGTGAAACAATTAAAAAAAGAAAATGCTATATTTAGTGGATAGAGACGTTTGAGTAAGCATCCCTGTTTATTAACAAACTGAAAGTAATATTTACCAGTCAAGATTGTCAAATGCTTTATGCACCTGTTGACAAGAATTGATCATGCATACCGTATTTATGTTATTTTGGGGAGGGTGTAACCACCTATTAACCAAGCATGTCTTACCTTTAGACTACAGAAGTTCTTAGAGCGAAGCAGTGGTTATTTACTCTTTTTAAGATATGTACATCTCTTGTTGGGACACTCAATATTAAGTTGACCAAGCTGCTAATAATACATTGCTTTTTGTTTCTTGTCTTTCATCTTAGCCCTCTTTTTGATATTTTAACTTTTCATGATCACATGTCCTGTAAACCCATTGCGTCTGGCACATTTTTACTTTTAACTCTTTGAGCCCTGACCACTACTTTACCAGTGGTAGAGAAAAATGACATAATGACTATCTACTAGTTGAACAGTGGTAGAGAAAAATGACATAATGACTATCTACTAGTTGAACAGTGGTAGAGAAAAATGACATAATGACTATCTACTAGTTGAACAGTGGTAGAGAAAAAATGACATAATGACTATCTACTAGTTGAACAGTGGTAGAGAAAAATGACATAATGACTATCTACTAGTTGAACAGTGGTAGAGAAAAATGACATAATGACTATCTACTAGTTGAACAGTGGTAGAGAAAAATTTGACTATCTATAGTTTTAGAGAAAAATGACATAATGACTATCTACTAGTTGAACAGTGGTAGAGAAAAATGACATAATGACTATCTACTAGTTGAACAGTGGTAGAGAAAAATGACATAATGACTATCTACTAGTTGAACAGTGGTAGAGAAAAATGACATAATGACTATCTACTAGTTGAACAGTGGTAGAGAAAAATGACATAATGACTATCTACTAGTTGAACAGTGGTAGAGAAAAATGACATAATGA